AGCGGCCGGGCGGGGGCGGCTGCGAGCCGCGGCGCGGGGCTCCTGGGGTTCCCCCTCCACCTCCTGCTTCACCGAGACAGGCAGGGGCTCCGCCATCTCCTGCTTGATCTCCACGGGGTCAGGAGGCTCCTCCTTGACCTGAGGGCCCTCCGGGACCGCGGGCGGCGCCCTGCTGGCGTCTGTGAAGGGGCAGGCGGCGAGAGGGAAGAGGGCAGAGAGGGATGTGGTTCAGAGGTTCGGAGGGGGTAGACCTCATCCCAAAGCCAAGACACCCCACAACCCCAGCCCCCCAGACCCTCCAGGGCTCTGCTAACTGATCCCTGAGAGATCGGCACACCTGACTACTGGACAGTGGAGGACTACAATGCAATGAGCAAGAGAAACACCGCACAATGCCGCGCTATTACAGCACAGGCTCTGCTGAAAACATGAACAATAAGAGATATTTCTCACACCTTTTTTTTTCCTATTAGTTTGGCATCAGTCTGTTCTCCTCCCCACTAATAGCTGGTGTGTGGTGAGCATTCTGGCGCACTCTGGCTGCTGTTGCATCATCCAGGTGGGGCTGCACACTGGTGGTGGTGGAGGGGATCCCCATTACCCGGACAGCGATTTGAGTGGAGTGTCCAGAAAAGCGCTATATAAGTGTAAGGAATTATTTGCTGCAGGAGGTATTACCACTTGAAAATTCAAATAAGAGTCATATGACTCAGAGCACAACTATTCCCAATACCCCTGACCAGCTCTTCCACCCATCTGAAACACTGCAGAGAAGACTGGAAACGTTGCTTTCAAACAGTGGTCACACAGGATCGGTCACTCAGTCACGCTCCTGGGTGAAATCACAAGGGTCAACAACAGCACTCAAACTAGAAGTCTCCTCTTATTTACAGGACAGGGAAAAAAAACAACATTGTGGCCTAATGCTGCAAGCCGTCTGCCTTTCCTTTATACCTGTAGACGATGGCACAGGATGCCTGTAATTTCTTGTAAGATGGGAATTCATGATGTTGTATAAAGATGTTAAGAGTTTCTTTAATGTTATTTATGAATGTGTTAAGTCTCAGGTAGCAGTGCAGACAGTAGCAATGTTAATTCTGATTTGTGCATGTTCACTTTATACTGCTTTGGCTCCACATAGGACGTGCGTGTTGGAAGAGCATTTTTTAATATTTATGTAGTAGAAACTCACACTCTGTGTTTAATTAACCGGATCCAAACCTCCTGTCTCCTCTCGAGCTTCTTTTCTTTACAGAGATAGCGATTCCATGCCTGTCGCACTGGGACACAGTGAGCACTATACTGCGCTGCTTAAGCACTTTGAATTT